AATAAGTACTGAAACATTGAACAGATGGACATGTGCATTCAAAAGTTTAGAGAAGGTCAAATTAAGTTCACCTCTAAAGGTTATACTGCATTTTTGGTGCATTGTCAAATTTTATCCGAAAGCCGAATATCCCTGACTTTTTGTTAGTAGTGTATAATAAATAAGTGGAAATGACTGAAATAATAACATTATTTCTTGTTACAGCACAAAAAAATAATGAATATTTGGTATCTATGGTTAGGACTGATGCAGGTTTAAAAAATAAAATGAAAAGAAAGAAAGTAGAAAATCATAATATATAAAATTTTTATAGCTTGATTTTTTTATGAGCACATTTCTGTGCGAAGGGACCTTACTGTGAGTATTTGACATTGAGCAAAATATAATGCATATAAATAAATGTTGCTGCTAATCTTTCACATAGACCAGGCTGCAGTAATCAAACCATAAATAATCCAGTTTGCACTGCATTGCAAGTATATTGAAATTAAATATTTTTTTGTGTTATTTAGACGGAGTTGCATCGTGACCAAAAATCTGGCAATTTAAGGGTTAAATTGTTTTAAAATTCATTATTTTATATGTATGATAAGGACTGATGCTGGTTTAAAAAAATAAAATTAATAATTTTATAGCTTGATTTTTTACGAGCACATTTTTGAGCGAAGGGACCTTAATGGCCCCCCTGCTGGCAATTAGAAAGAATGCAGGTTTAAACACACGTTGGGGGCGGCAGTAGCTCAGTGTGTAGGGACTTGGCTTGGGAACCGGAGGGTCACCGGTTCAAGTCCCACAGACCACAAAATATGGAGGAGGAGGAGGAGGGAGGAAGGAAGGAAGGAAGGAAGAGACCAAAAAACACAGAGAAATATTTATAGGTATTTCAAAAAATCAACAGATATGTGATATCTGGATGTAGTGGTGGGCTATAACACAACCAGCAGGCTCTCACTCCAGAGTGCCAGGACCAGACTGAGTTTGTCCTCCTGTGTGGGCAGCTGGAGCTGGTCCACAGCCAGCTGCTCTACCTGCTGGAGCTGCCGCAGGGCCTGGAGGTGGGACAGAGGGAACTGCAGACCCTGCAGAGACAAAGACCATTGGAAATAGATTTGGACAACCAGGGACATATTGCATCAAAGACTGCACTGCCAGGACACTACCTAGGTGCAAGACAACAGTGCTTCAGGTGACTGTATATAAACCTGACATACACATGCACATATTATAGGGCTTTTCCAATAGCACTTTTGCCCACGCTGACTCAAACCACACTGATTTGCGTTTCCATTACCAGTTTAAAACGGCAGTGGGTAATTTTTCTAAAAGTAAATTTTTTTTTTCATATTTGCTGAAACTTTTACTATATCCTGACAGTAGTACATGAGATAGATATCTAGCAGCTTACCCTGTAGATTTCCTGTTCTACCTCTTCATCACAGCTTTCACCCATCATGTGGCTCACCCTTGGGTTCTTCAAAGAGTGTAAGACAAAGACTACCAGCTCCATGGCTTCATCCTGAAACACACACAGAGCTGAGTGTGTCACTGAATTCAGTCTTTAATGTCTGTCAGCATATCTGACCAGTGGTGTTGCACAGAACAACCTGGGCCTTATTTTCCATGTTTTGTGTCAAAGTGACTCACGGGGACAAGTTTTGAATTTGGTCCAGTATTGAGGGCGAGCTCTGTCGCCTGCAGCTGCGACACAGGCTACAACGTAATCTTTTAAATGACATCCATTAAAAGTGTTTGTGAAATCCTCTCTGTTAGCATCGGGTCACAGCACCCACAGGACACCAGCAGTCTCTCAAGTTGCAGTAGCTTGTTCACCATCGTCTGCCTGGCTCGCCACTGTTGACTTTCTGTAACAAGTCATCTCTCCTGAGACTTCTCTTTGAGCAGGACTTGGGTAGACACACAATGGATCAAAAGAACAAAAAAACTTGTCATTTCTCTGTAGGGTTGTATTGTCAGAACAGGGTTCCCACCCTTTTTGACAAATCATTTTCCAGGACATTTTCTTGACAAGACAGGAGAGTCCTTGCTTACCGAAGGTGATGTATACTGCTGTTTTAGGCTAACTGACTGCATTCATTTGGACACAGCACATAAGTAATGGGTAAAAAAGTAGATTATTTTATTTTACAGAAAATTCATCTTCTACAAAGTTAAAGTGTTCATTGCACATACAATGAAGACTGCTGTGCATGTATATATTAATTAAGAAATTAGATTCTTGTACACATGTAGATATGAGAATTTTGCTTGCAGCTCTGGAAAACATTGACTTGATGCTGAAAAGATCACTGCAGTCAGTTCCAATTTGAATCTGGTAAACCTTTGAAGTGTCATTGTTCTGAAGGCTGCACAACAGAGCAGGTGACTTGGCTAGATCCAGCCACTAGGGGCGCCATCGCGCTCAATTGGGCCGAGTGCCGCTGCTTGTGAGGGAGAGGAGTAGAGACTGACTACGATGAGACATGTGTATGACAGGCAGCAGAAGTTGGGTTTGCTACTTTGTATCGGTTGATCTGTCGTTTGTGGTCCTGTGTGCGTCCAGAGAAACGTAAGTTATGTTGTTTATTTGCTGGATGTAATTTCATAGTTGTATATTTTATTTGTTTATATGTCTGGTTGAGATTCTATCTGGTGCTACAATGCATATTTCTAGCAGTGTCATTTATGTTATATTTATACCACATTGGATTAAAGCGCCATAAAAGGACTGACTGTCTGCCGATGCCACCACCCCTCTTGCAGGCCGCACCACCGCCACCAACAAGGGAGCTGCACCGTCCGCCCGCAGTACCGGACAG